AACATGGTGAAACCCCCGTCTCTACTAAAAATACAAAAATTAGCCAGATATGGTGGCACGTGCCTCCTGCAATCCCAGCTACTCAGGAGGCTGAGGTGGGAGAACTATTTGAACCTGGGAGGCAGAGGTCACAGTGAGCCGAAGTTGCTCCACTGAACTCCTCCAGCCTGGGTGACAGAGCAAGACTCCATCTGAAAAAAAAAAAAAAAAAGAAAGAAAAAGGAATGGAAGTAGTTGTAAGTAGTGGTATTGTAGTATGAGTCTGTTTCGTTACTTATAATTTTAAAAAAAATGCTGAAACTGGGTAATTTATAAAGAAAAGGAAAAAAAAGAAAAAAATATAAATCTCATCATGAAGAAGATAAAGAAAAAAAGAAGAAATGAAATTTATGTATTATAGTTCTGAAGGCTGAGACGTCCCAGGCCAAGCATCCACACCTGGTGAGGGCCTTCTTGCTGGTGGAGACTGCAGAGTCCTGGGACAGTGCAGGGGAATGGGTAGTGCTATGCTTAGAATCTGTGTCCCTGGCCAAATCTCATGTCAAAATGTAATCCCCAGTGTTGGAGGTGGGGCCTGATGGGAGGTGACTGGATCATGGGCACAGAGTTCCCATGAGTGGTTTAGCACCATCCCCCCTTGACACTGTATAGTGAGTGAGTTCTCATGAGATCTGGTTGTGTAAAAGTGTGTGGCACCTCTCTTCCTCCTACTCCAGCCATGTGAAGATGCCAGCTCCTCCTATGCCTTCCACCTTAACTGGAAGCTTCCTGAGGCCTCCCCAGAAGCAGAAGCCACTATGCTTCTTATACAGCCTGCAGAACTGTGAACCCAATTTAACCTCTAGATTCTTTGGCCGGGCGTGGTGGCTCACGCTTGTAATCCTAGCACTTTGGGAGGCTCAGGCAGGTGGACTGCACAATGCCATTTTATAAACCTGGGAGCTTAGAGTTCGAGAGCAGCCTGGGCCACACAGTAAAACCCGCCTCTACTAAAATACAAAAAATTAGCTGGGCATAGTGGCATGTGCCTGTAGTCCCAGCTACTCAGGAGGCTGAGGCAGGAGAATTGCTAGAACCCAAGGCAGATGCTGCAGTGAGCTGGCACTGCACCACTGCACTCCAGCCTGGGCAACAGGGCAAGACTCTGTCTCTTACAACAAACAACAACAACAAAAAAACCTCTACTCTTTATAAATTACCCAGTCTCAGGTATTTTTTTATAGCAGTGCAAGAACAGACTAGTACAGGTGGCAAGGGGGCTGAGCATGCTCACATCTCCCCTCCTCTTCCTATAAAACCACCAGTTCCGCCCATGATCACCCATTAATCTTTCATAACCCAATCACCTCTTAATAGTCCCACTTCTCAATACTGCCACATTGGGCCAGGCTTGGTGGCTCATGCCTGTAATTCCAGCACTTTGGGAGGCCAAGGCAGGCAAATCGCTTGAGCCCTGGAATTGGAGACCAGCCTAGGCAACATGGCAAAACCCCATCACTACAAAAAATACAAAAATTAGCCAGTCATGGTGGCATGCACCTGTAGTCCCAGCTACTCAGGAGGGTGAGGTAAGAGGATCACCTAAGCTTGGGGAGGTTGAGGCTGCAGTGAGCCATGATTGTACCACTGCACTCTAGCATGGGCGACAGAGTGAGACCCTGTCTCAAAAAAAAAACCCATCACATTGAGGATGAAGTTTCAACATGAATTTTGAAGGGGACCAACATTTAAACCACAGCAGTGGTGATGAAAATAAGTAGACAAGGCCAAGGCAGGTGGATCACTGGAGGTCAGGAGTTCAAGACCAGCCTGGCCAACATGGTAAAATCCCACTTCTACTAAAAACACAAAAATTAGCTGGGCATGGTGGCACATGCCTGTCATCCCAGCTACTCAGGAGGCTGAGGCAGAAGAATCGCTTGAACCCGGGAGGCAGAGGTTGCAGTGAGCCAAGATCGTGCCACTGCACTCCAATGGCAGAGTGAGACTCTCTCTTAAAAAAAAAAAAAAAAAAAAAAGAAGCCGGGCACGGTGGCTCAAGCCTGTAATCCCAGCACTTTGGGAGGCTGAGGCAGGTGGATCACAAGGTCAAGAGATCAAGACCATCTTGGTCAACAAGGTGAAACCCCGTCTCTACTAAAAATACAAAAAACTAGCTGGGCATGGTGGTGCGTGCCTGTAATCCCAGCTACTCAGGAGGCTGAGGCAGGAGAATTGCCTGAACCCAGGAGGCGGAGGTTGCGGTGAGCCGAGATCGTGCCATTGCACTCCAGCCTGGGTAACAAGAGCGAAACTCCGTCTCAAAAAAAAAAAAAAGGAAAGGAAAGAAATAGAGATGAGCAAAAGAGGTAGAATCAGCAGATCAGTAGGACTTGGAAGCAGCATAAATAACAGTGGGTAAACACATGGGCTGTGCCATCAAAGTGAATCTAAACCCTGGCTCTGCTGTGGTTTACACGTCCATTTCCTCACCTATAAATGGGAGTTTATGAGAGTACAGAGCCACTTCATGGAATTGTAGATTCAATTTGACATTACAAATGCCAAGAATTCTGCAAGTGCCTGGGACATTGTAGCTAGCTGCTCAATAATATATGAGCCTCTGTTATAATTCTTATCATCATTGTTATCAATCATCAGATAGAGGCAGAAGATAACCTCAGACTTACTGTATTCCAAATTTATTACTGCTGCCTTTTCTTAACCCCTGAAATTTACTCTCATCTGTGACTCCTTTCTTGCATATTAGTAATACTATCTCCCTCTAGTGCCGAATCCAGGACTCAGGAACCATTCCAGCCCAAACCTTTCCCTTCTCAGCCTCCATATCTATATCCTTCAGACTTGGACACTAATAAACAAATAAGTGAATTAATGGCACATGTTGAAAGTTCCCTACATAATTTGTTTTCTTTTTTTTTTTGAGACGGAGTTTCGCTCTTGTTACCCAGGCTGGAGTACAACGGCGCGATCTCAGCTCACCGCAACCTCCGCCTCCTGGGCTCAGGCAATTCTCCTGCCTCAGCCTCATAAGTAGCTCGGATTACAGGCACGCGCCACCACGCCCAGCTAGTTTTTTGTATTTTTAGTAGAGACGGGGTTTCACCATGTTGACCAGGATGGTCTCGATCTCTCGACCTCGTGATCCACCTGCCTCGGCCTCCCAAAGTGCTGGGATTACAGGCTTGAGCCACCGCGCCCGGCCCATAATTTGTTTTCAGTGTGCTCTACTCTCAGGATATCTTCCCACCTCCAGATATTTGATGAATGTTTACTTCCATTTGTGTGTGTGTGTGTGTGTGTGTGTGTGTAGGTATGTAATACTTAGCTCTTCTAGAATGTATTTGGAGTACTGTGAAGAGAAAATCTAAATTTTTCCCTAAGAAGCTTACTACCGCAGATAAGAAGGAGGGAGGGTGAGAAAGGAAGAAAAAAAGAGGCTGGATGGGGTGGCTCACTCCTGTAATCCCAGCACTTTGGGAGGCCGAGGTGTGCGGATCCTGAGGTCAGGAGTTCGAGATCAGCCTGGCCAATATGATGAAACCCCGTTTCTACTAAAAATACAAAAATTAGCTAGGCATGGTAGCATGTGCCTGTAGTCCTAGCTACTCAGGAGGCTGAGGCAGAAGAACTGCTTGAACACGGTAGGCAGAGGTTGTAGAGATCATACCACTGCACTCCAGCCTGGGTGACAGAGAGAGACTCTGTCTCAAAAAAACAAAAAACAAAAAAAGAAAAAGAAAAAAAGAGAAAATGGCCAGCTCGCTAGATGCTAAGATAAATTGGTAGCATTTACATCATTCCCTCTTGTTTAGGTTTTGATTTTCAGAAACTGATTGGAAACGTGATTTTGTTCTGCAAAAAGATGATCTGTTTCTTAGGGCCAAACACCTTCCTGCTTCCCTCCTTATTCCCCCATGCTCTGTCTTTAATCAAGCTCACAGAGTTGGTATATAGGTCTATACATGTTATATATCTGTATGTGGTACGTCAGATATACCATACATATAAGAGAGACACAATGCAATTTTATAAATTATGATGAAAAATGTAAACATCAAAGGGATAGATATTTGTTTTCCACTGACCAACATATTCTCCTTTCCTTATGAGGAAGTGATACAGAAAGTCAGTCATTAAAATCTTGTTCACCAAGCATGAAGTCAGTATAAGGATGTCTGGATATATGCTCAGGAAATCTAGGCTGGAGATAAAGATTCAGGAATCATCAACAGAGGGCGGCATTCAAAAGATTTTAATAACTGATGATAAGAGTTTGGTAAAATAGACTGGGCACAGTGGCTCACACCTATACTCCCCACACTTTGGGAGGCTGAGGCAGGTAGATGTTTGAGCTCAGGAGTTTGAGACTAGCCTGGGCAACATGGCGAAACCTCATCTCTACAAAAAAATACAAAAACTAGCCGGGTATGGTGTCGTGGGCCTGTAGTCCCAGCTACTTGGGGGCTGAGGTGGGAGGATCACTTGAGCCACGGAGTTGGAGGCTGCAATGAGTTTGGATGATGCTACTGCCCTTTAGCCTCAGTGACAGAGCTAGCAACATCTTATTTAAATTAAATTAAATGTCGATGAGATGGTTTCTATACATTTACATTTAGCATTATTTGCCCTGGAATCCAAGGCACAAGAGAGGCAATGAGTTAAAAATGTAGTTCCATACAATTGCCTGGATACCAGTTTAAAAAAAAATAAAAAATGTATTTCAAGTGTGTATCCTGGATGTTTAAAAAAAAAAAAAATTCAGCCCACATTCACAAGGATATACTATACTGCCTTAAGAGAGTATTCAAAATAAAGATGTCATTTTAAAAAATTAGCAATAAGTGAATACGGAGACCAAAAAGATCAGAACACTGAATATCCTAGTGAATTTTCAAGAAATAGATCCATTCTCTGATATATAAAATCTACAACTACAAAATTCTACTTTTTGTCAATGCATTTAAGTGACATAGATCAAGAATTAAAACTTTTCATACCTGGAAATTTATGAATGCTGCTCTTGAATGGAGTTAAAAAGGGAAGATTCTAAGTCAAATACTGTGTTTGAAGGATGGCCCTGTAGAGAGAGAAAATAGATATTTATAATGTACTTTTCTAATAAGAGGCAGAAAGATCTGCTAAGGTAAAAAATATTTATTTAAATAAATTATATAAGGGCCAGGCACGCTGGTTCATGCCTGTAATCCCAACACTTTGGGAGGCCAAGATGGGTGGATCACCTGAGATCAGGAGCTCGAGACCAGCCTGGCCAACATGGTGAAACCCTGTCTCTACCAAGTATACAAAAATTAGCCAGGCATGGTGGCAGGTGCCTGTAATCCCAGCTACTCAGGAGGCTGAGGCAGGGAGAACTGCTTGAACCCGGGAGGTGGAGGTTGTAGTAACCCGAGATCCTGCTACTGCACTCTAGCTTGGGCAACAGAGTGAGACTCCATCTCAAAAAAAAAAAAAAAAAAAAAAGTTATATAAGAGCCTCTGTCAGATAACATTTTTAACATGTAAAAATAGACTATCTGGTACAGATTACTAATAACAATAGTTAATAGTTAATAATAATTATAGTTAGTAGAAAATCATCAATAATTAATAATCTAAATATATAACAAACATGTAATATATGATATATAATAATGTAATATAAATAAATCATTAATATTAACAGTAATAGTTAATAGAAACATCATTTTGCTTCAAATTGGCTTGGAACTCTTTTTAAAGAAATATACACATTTTATATACACATTTTTATGTTTTATATATATAACTTTCTAACCTCAGTCTTAAAGTTTATAAGAAGAGATTTCTAATATTAAAAAATATTATGACAAATAAAAAGCAACATCCTTTTTTGTTTTTGTTTTTTTTTTTGAGATGGAGTCTTGCTCTGTCGTTGAAGCTGGAGTGCACTGGCGTGATCTCGGCTCACTGCACCCTCCATCTCTCTGGTTCAAGCAATTCCCCTGCCTCAGTCTCCCAAGCAGCTGAGATTATAGGCTCACACCACCACACCCAGCTACTTTTTTTGTATTTTTAGTAGATACGGGTTTTTACCATATTGGCCAGACCGGTCTCGAACTCCTGACCTCAGGCAATCCGCCCGCTTTGGCCTCCAAAAGTACTGGGATTATAGGTGTGAGCTACTGTGCCCAGCCATTTTTTTTTTTTTTTTTTTTGAGACAGTCTCACTTTGTCACTCAGCCTGGAGTGTAGTGGCATGATCACAGCTCACTGCAGTCTTGACCTCTCAGGCTTAAGGGATTCTCCCTCCTTAGTCCCCCAAGTAGCTGAGACTACAAGTACCCATCACCATGCCCAGCTAATTTTTGTGTTTTTTGGAAAGATGAGGTTTCGTCATGTTGCCCTGGTTGGTCTCAAACTCTTGGGCTCAAGTAATACCCCTACCTCAGACTCCAAAAGTGCTGGAATTATAGGTGTAGGCCACTGTCCCCGGCCCAAACATACGTTTTTTTTTTGTTTTTTGTTTTTGTTTTTTTTTGAGAAAAAGTCTCACTCTGTTGCCCAGGCTGGAGCGCAGTGGCGAGATCTTTGGTAACTGTAACCTCCCCATCCCGGGTTCAAGTGATTCTCCTGCCTCAGCCTACTGAGTAGCTGGAATTACAGGCACCCACCACCACCACACCTGACTAATTTTTGTATTTTTAGCAGAGATAGGGTTTTGCCATCTTGGCCAGGCTGATCTGGAACTCCTAACCTCAGGTGATCCACCCACCTCCATTTCCCAAAGTGCTGGCAATTAGAGGTGTGAGCCACCGCGTCCAGCCCCAAACATAATTTTTAACTTTGATAATAAAATAAACTTAACACAACATTATCCAAAGGCAGGCCAGCAAATGATACCAAGATAGTAAGTTCTATTGCTTTTTTCCTCCAAATGTCATCAATATGTTTTGCAAGAAAACTGAACAGAATAGCTTTAAAAATTCAACATATCTTACAAACTATAGTTAAGAGGGAAGTGGGAAAATCTACATATGGTTCAAAAAAAACCCCCCAAAAAACTCTTCAATTTCTATGGCATCCCAAATTTTTCAGTTATCAAAATCAAAATGACTCAACTTTTTTTTTTCATTGACTATCATGGTTTTGTTATTGTAGAAAGTGTAAAGGCTTTATTTCCATAAGCAGTGGAAAAGGAATTTTATGCTTGTTAAACCAAGTAATTAAGCTAAGAATTTCCACCAAAATAATTCTGATTGACCAATGAAATTGATTTAAAAAATTTGTTTTTAGCTGGGCACGGTGGCTCAAGCCTGTAATCCCAGCACTTTGGGAGGCTGAGGCGGGTGGATCACGAGGTCAAGAGATCTAGACCATCCTGGTCAACATGGTGCAACCCCGTCTCTACTAAAAATACAAAAAATTAGCTGGGCATGGCGAAGCGTGCCTGTAATCCCAGCTACTCAGGAGGCTGAGGCAGGAGAATTGCCTGAACCCAGGAGGTGGAGGTTGCAGTGAGCCGAGATAGCACCATTGCACTCCAGCCTGGGTGACAAGTGAAACTCCGTCTCAAAAAAAAAAAAAAAAAAAAAAAAAAGTTTTTTTCCTGATTATAAAAGTATTATGTGCTTATAGAAAATTTAGAAAATATAGGCAAGTGGCCAGGCACAGTGGCTCACACCTGTTATCCCAGCACTTTGGGAGGCCAAGGCGGGTGGATCATGAGGTCAGGAGTTCAAGACCAGCCTGGCCAATACAGTTACACCCCATCTCTACTAAAAATACAAAAATTAGCTGGGTGTAGGGTGGCGTGCGCCTGTAGTCCCAGCTACTTAGGAAGCTGAGGAAGGAGAATCACTTGAACCCAGGAGGCTGAGGTTGCAGTGAGCTAAGATTGCACCACTGCACCCCAGCTTGGGTGACAGAGCAAGACTCTGTCAAAAAAAAAGAAAATACAGGCAAGTACAAAGAAGAGGAGCTGGGCCCAGTGGTTCACGCCTATAATCCCAGCATTTCAGGAGGCAGAGACAGGAAAGTCACTGGAAGCCAGAAATTCCAGACCAGCCTAGGCAACATAGTGAGACCTGTCTCTAAATAAAGAAATAAGAAAATAAACTGAAATAACTTTTTTTTTTTTCTTTTTGAGACAGTCTCACTCTGTCACTCAGTGCAGTGGTGTGACCATGGCTCACTGTGGCCTTGACCTCCCAGCCTCAAGTGATCCTCCAGCCTCAGCCTTCTGAGCAGCTGAGACTACAGGTGTACCAGGCTAAATTTTATATTTTTTGAAGACAGGGTTTTTCCATGATGCCCAGGCTGGTCTTGAAATAATAGGCTGAAGTGATCCTCCCACCTTGGTCTCCCAAAGTATTGGAATGACAGACATGAGCCACTGCACCTGGCCCAAAATTAATAGTGTTTGAGAACAACTTATTGCTATACTAAAAGCTCATCTGTCACCTAGCTGTAATGAGCTAGAAGGGCATTCAGAGAGTGGCATTTACTTGGATTGCTTCACTGCTTCAACACTGTCATTTAAGGGCATATTAACTACTGTGCAGTGTACTGGGTGTGTACAGTGGTAATTTGTGGCTTAAGAGAACTGATTTCTGTTTTTTTGGGATGGGGTCTCACTCTCACCCAGGCTGGAGTACAGTGGCAAAATCTTGGCTCACTGCAACCTCTTTCTCCCAGGTTCAGGGATGTTCGCATTTCAGCCACCCGAGGAGCTGGGACCACAGGTGTGCACCACCACATCGGCTAATTTTTTTTGTATTTTTTGTAGAATGGGGTCTCGCCACATTGCCCAGGCTGGTCTCAAACTCCTGGACTTAAGCAATCCACCCACAACCTCAGCCTCCCAAAGTGTTGGAATGATAGACATAAGCCACCGCACTTGGCCAAAAGAATGGATTTCTGAGCACAGTCTGTGCCACAAACAGTTTTTACATACTGATGGAATGTTATTTTTTGAGATAACTACCAAGTTCCACTCTAGCAGATTTTAGAGTAGATCTGTGGATGCACATACAGCATCTTTTTTTTTAAAGGGTCTCACTATATTGCCCAGACTGGCCTTGAACTCCTGGGCTCAAGAGATCCACCCACCTCGGCCCCCCAAAGTGCTGGCATTACAGGCATGAACCACCTTGCCTAGCCATGAGCATCCTTTCTAACTTACTTCTGGAAAACTAAAAAGTTCATTTCCCAGACTCCTTTACAATTCAGTTTCCCCATGTGAAATGTGGCCCATCAATGAGATGTTCTGTGAGATCTGGAAGGCAGAAATGAGGTGAGAACCATCTTTCTTTCTTTTTTTTTTTTTTTGAGACGGAGTTTCGCTCTTGTTACCCAGGCTGGAGTGCAATGGCGCGATCTCGGCTCACCGCAACCTCCGCCTCCTGGGTTCAGGCAATTCTCCTGCTTCAGCCTCCTGAGTAGCTGGGATTACAGGCACGTGCCACCTTGCCCAGCTAGGTTTTTTTTTTTTTTTTGTATTTTTAGTAGAGACAGGGTTTCACGGTTTCACCATGTTGACCAGGATGGTCTCGATCTTTTGACCTCGTGATCCACCTGCCTCAGGCCTCCCAAAGTGCTGGGATTACAGGCTTCAGCCACCGCGCCCGGCCGAGAACCATCTTTCTTCTGTTTTGGCTGTTGATGCTGGCAAGCACATTTATGAAAACTTTTTTTTTTTCACAGCAGAATTCTACTGTCAAAAGCTTCATAATTGTCAAGAGGCAAACATGGTGAAGATACGAGTCACTATTTGGTAGGAGTTCAGGAAAGTTAAGGTGTAGCAGGCTTGTTTCCTTTTACTTACTTATATGCAGAGGCAGGGTCTCACTGTGTCACCAGGATGAAGTGCTGAAGTACAGTGGTGCAATCATAGCTCACTATAAACTCAAACTCCTGGGCTCAAAGGGATCCTCCCACTTTGGTCTCTGAAAGTTCTGGATTACACTAGCAATGACACTGGAAGCCTCCCACTCCCTGTGGGGACCTGTTGGGCAGTTTTCTTCTTTTTTTTGAGATGGAGTTTTACTTTTGTTGCCCAGACTGGAATGCAATGGTGCAATCTCTGCTCACTGCAACCTC